GGGGGGGGGGGGGGGGGGGGGGGGGGGGGGGGGGGGGGGAGGGGGGCAACGCGGCTGCAGCGACGATGATGATGAAGCCGACCGTGGCGGCTTACACGGCGGCGGTGACGGCGTGCGCCAACGCCGGGCAGTGGGAGGTAGCAATCGGGCTTCTTAGAGAAGTCACGAACGGCCACGCGGTCGCCGCTACCGCCGCTGCCGGGGGCGGTAGTGGGGACGCGGCGGCTACGCTTGTCGGTGCAGAGCCTTCTTCCGGTGTTGATGGTGATGATGATGGTGCCGTTACCGTGGAAGTGGTTGATGCCCGTTCGACCGCCGCCGCCGCTGACCAAGAGGCGGGGGACGGCGGCGGCGGGGACAAGAAACGAAAGGCATCATCGTCAACCTCGGCGCACAAGCCACTCGTGGCCGACGTGCTCCTTTACAACGCCGCCATGGCGGCGTGCGGGCAGGCCGGGCAGTGGCGGCAAGCCGTCCGGCTCTTGTCGGAGATCTCGGAGATGGGCCTGTGCCCCTCGGTGGTGAGTGAGAGTCATTATCGCTCTTCCCGCGGTGTCCATATATTTTTTTTTGTGGCGGGAGAATGTGGGAGATCTGTTGATGCGAAATCACGCGTCGTATGGGCGGGTCTGTTTCGATGTGTTGGTTTGCCGCCCGCCCTACTACCGTTTTTTTTTTTTTTTTGTCTTCCGGCAGTCATGTTAACCAAACCATGAAAAAATCAAATGGCACTTCTCCGACCTACTACTTTACCGCGCTTTGTCCCTAGCAAATGTGAAGGAGGCTAATGCCCCGCGTGGTACTAAACTTCCCCATATCCACGTGTCGTCCCCTTTCAAATAGGTGAGCTACAACATCGCCATCGCCTGCTGCGGAGCGGCGGACGAGTGGCAGAAGGCGGTCTCCCTGCTGGAAGAGATGCGCACGGTGGGTCTGACGCCGGTGTCGAGCACGTACCTGCCCGCGATAGACGCGTGCTACCGGGCCGGCCAGGGTAAGGTCGGGTACGCACTGACGAAGCAGAGGGACGCGGCGCAACGGAGCATGAGGCGGCACCCGGACTTCGCGTCGACGAGGAGGAGCCAGCAGCGCAAGTTGTTGCAGCCGTACGAGAAAGGTAATCTGTAGCATCGTTTTCTTCTCGGCACTGCGAGCGGGAATCCCGACGTGGTGTGGTAGCACTGGAGGTCGCCTTTGTGGAGCGGGGTTGCGTGCGATGGATGGCAGAGGCCGTGTGAAGTTGTTGGTTGGCTTGTTCCGAGCTCTCGGTCTACCTTCCAGGCACGTGGGCGGGGGTACGGCGCGTGGGGTCTTCGGTGTGCCGGGTATGGATTAGTAGTTCGGGCGTGCGGGGTACGACAGAGGGAAGGAGCGAGATTTAGGCGAGGGAGAAAAGAAGGGAGAAAAGAAGGGAGAAAAAGGTTAGCTTTAACAGCACTTCTTCTCGGCAGTAAAGAGGTAGATACCGGGAGAGCATATTTTGTGTTCCTCGGGAGTGTGTGCGTGTGTTTCACATTTTGTACATGCACAGCGAGAGTTGTTCAGAAAATGACCCATATGCAAGCCCTTCCTAAGAACATGGCCTACAAGATGTTTCGTCGACCCACACTACGAGTTTGGTTCTGTTCATGTTTTTTCCGTGCCGTGCCGGCGCTGGGTAGTTGTTCTGGGTAAGTTAGGTGCCGGATCAACAAACGACTGATGCGTGCCAGCCAGCGACAGGAGGAGGCCAGATGGAATACACCTGGTTTGAATACCATGACCGTTATCAATTCTGAGCCCTGGCTGCGCGCACAACGTGTGGGAGTACGCGTGGCCGCCGGACACCAGATTGAATTAAGCTCGACGATGTAATTGGATCCTGCAAGAACTTACGGTTGGAAGCGAAACTACCTGCCGACCAAGCCTTGCCGGCCGTGTTCTTCGTACAGTAGGGTTCTCTGTTTCGAGCCGGGGTGTGCGCCGAAATTTCACCGGCACTAAACCGGACACCCGGTACTATTCACAGTACGGAACGACTTGGTATTCCAATGTGTGCGAGCCGAAAACACCCGCACTATACAGGGACGGACCTCTACTGTAGCGTGTTCTGGCAGGTATCCGTTTCTTGCGGACATGGGGTATGTTGGAACAATGAATCCCCATTGGGTATGCCGATTTTCTGAAATGGACCGGCATCTCGGAGCGTGCTTGGGTGCACAAGCGCGAAACGTCCAGTGACACTGGTGATGCCTATACTAGGCATCAACCCGGCAACCAGTACGTACGCGACGCATACCTTCGCAGCTACAATCCGAGGCGCACAAGGCCTTCCGTTCAGAAAGCTGCGCTCTCCCGTGGCGTGTGCAAGTGTACACGAGCCTGCCCTTCCTGCGAACGAGGAATAACTCTGCGACGCATCCTTCGCGCTTTTCCCTTTTCCTCTCTGCCTCCAGGCCGAAGAAACCGACAACAAAAGAAACGACTGCTGGATTGTACCCTAAAAATTGCAACAGTCCCATGTGGCTGTGTCTAGCTCACTACATGCCTTGTTCAAAATTGACCAATAAAACATCCACCATCTGCGAGAATTCCGTCTTTCGACACATACCCCCCCTCCTCTCACGGAGCCCCTCCGCTCCCACGACAGAAACCCAGCCCCGAAGGGAATGCGTGTCTGCCGGTCTGACGAGAATGGGATAATGTACAGCAGACTAGGCCTAGCATTAGACAACGAAGCGGCGCAAAGGGCAGATACCCAACGCGGAAAAGACCGCCCCCTGCGTAATAATTTCACAAAGGCTTGCTTCCTCGAAAGCACCAACACAAAGTTCGCTAGCACGACAAAATTTCCCATGCCCTGAGAGCGCCGGGTGGGGTGATGACGGACCGCGTTAAAAGTCGGCACCCCTCACAAAAACGGGACGCCTGCTCCCGAAGAGACCGCTTTCATAAGCGAGGGTGGGAGAACGCAAGTGTTGGAGCAAGAGGTGTGTGCGTGTACACAACTCGCCGAACGCATCTAGCATAACCAACCTCTCACACGTGACGCGTAAAGTGCTGTCTACTCGAGAGCGGATTATTTTTCGATCGGAAGCCAGCCTCGTCATTTCCCTGACGCCGGCGTACTCCACATAACAAGCAACGTTCGCATCCCCCCCCCCCCCCCCCCCCCCCCCCCCCCCCCCCCCCCCCCCCCCCCCCCCCCCCCCCNCCCCCCCCCCCCCTTCCCACGCGAACATACGGGGCTTCACCGCCTCTCTGAACAAAATATGCAGCTACTTAACTGTGATTATCCCGGCTACACCCCACCTGTCTCAAGAGCCACACACCGACGAAAAAAGCAGGAGATCACCACCACCAAGACAGCAAGAATAATACGAAAACAGTAGCGTGCCTTCAACATCCACCCCATCCCCCCGAGCGCCTGGCACACATCGAGACGCGCGTGCCGGTGGCTCGCCCACGTAGAGGGACGGAATCCAACGCTCTACCAAACGCCTGCCAGCACCCGAGCCTGGAAGCAACACCCGCCATAAGCCGAGAGCGTCACAACAGCCAACCCCCGCCCCGCTTCGCGACAGACCAAAACGTGCGCCGCCGACCACGGCAAGACGGCATGACGCCCTCGCGTTAAATATAAATATTGGGTCTGTCGCCCGGACAAGCTTCGGGGGGGGGGGGGGGGGGGGGGCTCAAAGNGGGGGGGGGGGGGGGGAGGGGGGGGTGCTCAAAGCCGTGCATGCCATGAAGTCGTATGACCATTGACATCGCCTATCCCTACAAAGCCGGGACGGAGCCAAGCACGCCAGGGGAGGGGTAGAAATGTTTGCTGACGGTACAACAGCAGTAAGGCCCCTTTCACGGAACCCCCGTTATGCGTCCGGGTTGATGAAGTTGAACTTGGACGCGCCCGTCATCTCCATGACGGTGTCGTAGATCGCGAACTGCCCGGCAGTGAGGCTGCCGATCATGACGCACCGGGGGCCGAGGCCGTTGAGAAAGAGCTTCTTGAAGCCCGCCTCGAAGAAGAGGTTCTTCAGTCGGGTGCCCACCGACCCGGTCCCCCCTGCGCCTGCAGGAAAGAAGAAAGATCAACACGCAGTTTAGGTTGTGTTAATATTACCTACGACATGACATTTAACACCATATGTTATTATAACTACAGCATTTTTGCCAGTATCGTGTTGGTGTCCCTACACGGCATGAGAATCCAGCATAAACGTATGTATCGACTTCAGGAGCGATGTTCAACACAGTGGCAGACGGACGGCCCATCGGACGGAGCGGGTAACAAAGCCAAACGGCGCGATTCAGACTCAGGATAAGTTTTGTACGGCAACCAAACACACCAGTCGGGGGCGTTGATTCACTCACTCATGTTTTATCTGGAGTACAGAGGCAAAGACAACGGCGTAAAGCAACATACTCCTCCATACTTCTTGCAAAGACAAAGGCGTAACGCAATATACCCCTCCATACTTTGAGGCGGAGCTCCGCAACATGAAATTGGCAAGTGCCGCCACCCCCTTAGCCTTATCGCCCCGAAGCCCTCCCCACCGGCGACACCGATCGCCGCCTGTATACATGACGCAGCATTCCCGACTACGAGTACACCTCCCCCCCCCCTCTCTGCTCCGCCTGTCCTCTCGAGGACGCCCGGTCCAACCGCCAAGACATGAAAAACATTAATACCCTCCCGTCCCACGCTGCTGTGACCCACCTTCCTTGTTGACCATGGACAGGAGGCTATCCGCCGGGTGCGAGATTATCGCCGCTGCGACACCGGCGATAACGCCCGATGAGAGGGAAACCCCGACCTTGGTGGCGTCGCTCATCTCGGTCGGCTTCTTGCCGATGGCATAGCCGATCTTTTCGGCTGCGTAACCCTGTCGCCGCCGTCGCCGTGGATCATAATCGTCCGTCGATTTGTTTTTTTGGAGAGGCAGAAGAAGTGTCGACAACACATGTGGGC